TTTCTGGTAAAATTAACAATAAAATATAATTTTATAATATGTGATAGTATTTGCTAAGTCCAATACACTTCGGCAATTTTATCATTACACCTTACAACTTGGCATAAAAACCATTTTTTCAATTAAATCTACTTTTCAGTTTTGTCTTTTTTACCAAATGTGTGGAAATAAGGATTTTAAATTTGAAAACCAGAACTACCGGTAAACCATTACCATATCCACGAAAAACAAATTGATTTACTGAATGATTTACGTTCCGTATATTTTGGTTATTAATAACTGAAATTTGTTTTTTTTTTTAAATTTCTTTCTCTAGAAATGTCATTACCATCCTGTGAGGTAATTTTAGTAGTATATTTTTTTCTGTGCGAAATTGCTGATCATAAAGCATCTAACCCATTTTGGCCAAAGTTGCATAGGTGCAGCAATAAATTATATTTCATTAACACTGTGACACACACCGAAGAGCCATTACATTATGACTACCCTCCATCTATAACAATGAGCTCGGCCAGGTTTTCATGGTTTCTCGCCCAGGAACAATGTTTTCATGGAGCACATTAGGACCCGTAATCCTCATAGAACAATCCCTTACGTCTGTAAGCTACATAAACATAGTTGCAGACAAGGTTCACCTATTCATGGCAACAGTTTTTCCTGCGGGGGATGGTGTTTACCAACAGGATAATGCACCATGTCATAAGGGTTGAATCGTTGAGGAACATTCCAGTGACTTTCAAGTCATGTCTTGGCCCCCAAATTCACCTGACCTTAATCCAATAGAGCATTTGTGGTCCTACTTGGCAAACAAAATTCGTGCTGCCACGCTACCCCCTCGCAACGTGAGGGAATTGCAGGACCAGTTGGTGAGCGCTTGGTACCAGATACCTCAGACTACCTATCAGTTCCTTGTGGAATCAATGCCAAGGCGGGTGCTAGCAGTTTTGAGGGCTAAATGTGGTCCTACATGTTATTAGCAGGGTGGTCATAATGTAATGGCTCTTCGGTGTATATTTTTCATTAATTTCATTTTTCTGCGATTTTAAAGGGTTTTGAATACATCTATAAAATATTAGCAACTCAATTAGAGTAAATTCTTTCTGTTGAGAAATTTTTAAAACTTTACTAGTTTTTTTTTAAAGTTTTTTTTCCCAACTTGAAACGGTTTCAGACAGATTAGACTTATTGAAAATGTGTTCCATTTATGATTGATCATATGTTTTTATGGTGGATCGATTGCAAGTTCTGTAAATAATGTAAAAATAAAGCAAATGTCATAAAAAATTAGAGTTAAACTAAATGACATGACAAAAGATGAATATACACCCATTTTATTTCTTAAATGAAAGATAATTTCCCTTGCACGAAACTTTTATTTGTGTCTTAATTAATGTAATTTCAGCATATTTCAATAAAAATATAATATATTTCATAAAATTTCTATGCTTGGCCTAAAATCGGTAAATTGGAAATGAATATAAAGTAAATATTGGAAAATTGGAAATAATTATTGGAAAAATTGGAAATAAATATTCGAAAACAAACATATTTGAAATTAAATTCAAGACATTGAAAAGACATCCTTTTCTTCGAATAAAAATGCGGAAACTTCAACGAAAGTCATTTCCCTCTAAAAAAAAATTTCCTGAAAACTTTTTGTTAAAAGAAATTTTTGCTTGGCTTCCTTCGACCATTTGTGCATTAATGCAAAAGTGAAATCTTTCTATTCTTGAACAATGGAAGAATTTAAAGTTCTTTTTAAATGTGCACCAACTGTTTTTGAAAATAAAAGTTTTGGTTTCTATGCCATAAAAAGGAAAACAAATTACATTACAGTCCTTCTAACATGCTTTTTAATATGTATTAGGACACCGTAAATAATGCTCTTTTACATTGAATTCAATAGATAAATTTTTAACAGTTTTTTTTAGTCAATAATAAAACTATTTTCATGAGCAAAAACTCTTTACCATATAATTAGCAATTTTTTAAATGAGAAACATCCGGGAATGGTATTTTGGACATATTTTTATTCTTTTTGCCACACGGGTTAAAACTTCTGGTAAAATAACCGTACTATATGGTAATGGCATGTCTTATTTAAAAAAAAACATATTTCTGCTTAGTTAAACCAAAATATACGGTATCTTAACCTTTAATTTGGTAATTTTACTGTTCATATGGTAAAGGTTTATAAGAAATACTGGTTTTTAAAATTATAGTTCGTATTTCCATACATTTGTCAAAAATTACAAAACTAAAAAGTAAATTCAACCGAATAAATGGTTTTTATGATCTAAGGTTTTACGATAAAATTATCTAATTTTTCCACATTAACCAAATTTCATCACACATCATAAATTTAAATCTTATTGTTTGTCTTACCAGCAATTTGGTGCTTCCATAAAGCCACAAACAAGGTAAACTTTACTATATTTTTTATTATTGATCATACTTTTTTTCCTCAGTGTACTTTAAAGAAGCTGTAGAAGTATGAACAAATGGAAATCCGATTACGCAATAACAGGTGAGTGTGATGGGTGAAGCAATACTTCCGACCCTAATTCATTAGTTTTTTAGTTAGTAGGTTTTGGTCTTCCAGATCGGTTCGAACAGGAAAAGTCTGAGTTACCCGATTTGGTTTAAGAAAACTCTCTGCCTTTACGTGCGTGTAATAAATACACTTGGATAAATATCGCAAATGTTGTTGTAAATATCTGTTAAGTTAAAACTTTTATTAAACTCACAGAGTCCCGGATTCAAGACTCAAAGCCGGATACGTACCATTGCTACCTGGATACATACCTTTGCTAGTATTTAGTTTGTATTTTACCTTAAACAACTTACTCCCCCTCCCCCCCCAAAAAAAACACTTGAAATATTTTGGGCACAATTTTGAATGCAAAGCAGCTGATAAATGAAAAATTTTGTATAAACGACATTATTTTCCGTACCTTTATTGGACTTGAATTATTCTCTTGCTTAGAGGCCTCGGTTTTTCCTTCGAATCAAGGGTTGTGCGTAAATCGGGATCTGGTGCCAATGAAGCCTGCACTAAGTGTTCTTGTTGCCACCGCAACTTTTTGAAAATTAATAGGACTTTTGCAAATAGGGCTTAATAGCCTGGTTCTCATGTTTCAATGATTATACTATAATTTTATAAGTAAACTAAAAAGAGAAGTAAGTTGAAGGACACCCCTAAAATCTTTTACCTTAGCACTGGCATAATCGCATCTTAAGATGAAATTCTCACAGTTGATCACTCAACCAAATATGACTAGTACTAACTATTGATAACTACTATTAACTATTATTAACTACTACTAACTATTATTAACTATTAGGGGAGTGTCGGGTACACCCGCTCAGCAGGGATCCCCGCCGACTGTCAATTTCATGTGTATAGAATATTTTTTCAAGTCAATGGGCCATCGGACATTAATTGTTATATTAAAAAAAGATTATTTTCAAAGTTTCAAGTATTTATGCAGCTAGTAACATGGTAAACAATAGTTTCGAAAATATGTTGAATACAGTAGTCAAATTTTTTAAACTTCTATTTTTTTAAGTTTAACTATTCTTTTTTGGTTTATTCTTTTTGCATTATTTAATTAGATGATAAAACAATAGAAACAAGCAAAAATATTGATTATTACTCAATATTATACAGAAATATAAGCAATACTCCTTAAGTGGGCGGGGCTACCCGACTCTCCCCTACTAACTATTATTAACTAGTCCTAACTATTATTTGCGAAATAAGAGACAAAATCACGTATTTTTTCCAATGGAATTGTAATTCAATCCATCAAAATGAAAGTGATTGTGAACTGACCGATTTTTTCGTACATTTATAATGCTCACTTAACCAAAGATATTTTATACAGTGTAAAAAATAAATAGTACGTTAAGAAAAAGTATTATAAAAGCTAACAGAATATGAAGAAAAAATTACCACGTTTTTAGCTCTATGCAAACACAAAAAAAGCTCGGTAACTTTTACGGAAGTGCTTTGGTAATGATATGGAAAATTTAAGAATGAAATTGTTTTTAAAATACGTGAGGAAATTCTCTAATCTGGATATAAATTTGGGAGAGTATGGCGTAAAACCCGTTTATTGGATTAAATTTATTTTTCAGTATTGTATTTTTTACAAAATGCGTGGGAATAAGAACAAAATTTTGAAGATTAGAATAACGGAAAAATTACCAAATGAATAGCTTAAATACCATATTTTTGGTTTTATTAACTAGAATTATGAATTTTTTTTATCAGAAATTTTATCGTCGTACAGTACGGTAATTATAACATAGTTTTTTCCCTGTGTACTAAAAAATAATATATAATAATTAGTTTTTTTAAAATTAATTACTGCTTTAAAAATTTAAATTGTATGGTTTTTTTATATAACATAATAAATTATGTACTAGTAATATACAATATAGGTAGATCAGAAATAGATTATCTGAATGGCATTAAATACAGTCTAAGATATTGTTCGAATAAAAGAAAAAAAAGTCTAATGAAACTCGTTATTTTCATTAAGTAGTGCCTTCAAATGGTGGAAACAATGTATATGGGAGTATTAAAGATTTCACCATGCTAACGACAGCAGAAATAAGTGATCAATTCTACCAAACAGTGCTTACAAATGTTCACAATACATTATATCTGTAATGAAAAATAAATATCAAGGGACCGGAAAGTAATGTCGTTAGTCTTAAAAACCAATTCATTTTTTCGATCCATTTCGGTTTACTTCGATCCGAAAGGTTGTTGCGAACGAGGGGGAACACATTATTGTTTAAAAATAAAATCTTGATAACAATTATCAAATGCACCGAAACGACATTACTTTCCTGTCCCCCTAATATTTCAAGGAAAGGGTATTGTTGCTTAGATGGTTAGTTGACTTGATTTAACAAAAAGATCTTTCTAAGTCGTTGTTTCGTTGATATATATTTTTTTTAAAAATATTAAATAATTTCGATCAACTTACCGTTAAATAATTGACTTTTGTAAACAATCCATAAGGCGCAGCAGCTACAAAGGAAAATATCCAAATGATAATGATGTTTCGAAAAGCTCTCGTGACTTTGGACTTTGTGGTCTGACGTAGGGGATGGCAGACTGCAATATATTGTTCACAGCTGAAAGTAGCTATTGTAATTATAGATACGTAAGCTGTGGCTTCAGACATAACAGTTCGCATTATGCACGTCGAATTTCCAAGTTCCCATGGGTATTGATGCCATAGACTGTATAATTCTAATGGCATTGCTGGAAAAAAAAATTTTTAAATGATAGTTATAACATGTTTAAACTATACGCTTTAAAGTTGAGTATGTTTGTTGGGATATAAATTTAATGAAAATACCAACAGAAACAGGAAATATGTAAATAAGTTTTGAGAACCTATCCATGTTTTAAATCATATTTTTCCCTAAATTCATAATTTATTCCCCAAATAAAGTAAAATGCATTACAATTTAATTCTTAAAGTGAGAGACAGACATAAAGAAAAATTTATTTTTATTTAAAATTATGACGTAATCTTTTCTATAAAAATATACAATTACAATTCATATTAATATTCACAATGTATTATAGGGGATCTACGTTTAAACATTTTTTGTATTTATTTGAAAGCATATATCATTAGTTATTAGTATTTAAATATTTATAATATATATATAAAAAAAAAACATTTTCTTACAAACTTCAGAAAAGTAAAATAAAGGGACAATGTTTCACAAAATGTTTATAATACTTTTTCGTCATTGATTATTAAATTTCGTATATCATTGGACAAAATTGCAAAGTTTTCTAAATCAACTAGCCTTTTAATTAGTAGAAGTGAACTAATTGTAGAAATTATAACAACGGAAATCTGACGTCTGTTTAGAATTTTAAGAATTTTACACGGAGCAAAAAAATCGATAAAATTATCGTACTGTTTGGTAATGGCATTTACGGTAAAGAATAAAGAAAAGGTATGATTTTGGATAATAAAACCGAAATGTGCTGTACATAAACCTTTCATTTGTCAATTTTTTCGCCTGGGAACAGTTTACCGAAAATTCTGTTTTTCTAAATTATAGTTCCGGATCTTTCTCAGGGCTAGCAATTTACAGCAATAAAATTCATTAAGACGGGAAAGTAATACCTTGCATGCTTCAATCTATTTATTTTCAAACCTGTGTTTCCGTTCAATTTCTTAAAAGAAAAAAAAAAGAAATCAACATCAAGCAATTTAATTCAAATTCAGTGACTTATGCATGCCAGTCTTCCCTCACGTATCACCACCACGTCAAATCACCACTCACCATTTAGTAATGATTACAAAACTGAAAAGTAAATTTATCCGTATAAATGATTTTTATGCATGCACGAAATTTATGATGAAAAAATTACTAAATTTTACCTCATTTACTGCCAAACATATGGTGAAAAATAACATTTATATGATTAAAAAGTATGTTTTATTGTTAATTTTAACAAAATTATTAGCAAAGCGCTTCGGTAAAAATAATCAAGCCTTTCGGTGACCTCAAAGTAGCAGAAACACGGCAAATTTTATTATATTCATTTAGTTCTGAACATAACTTTTTACTTAGTGAACTTAATGTAAAAAAAGGAATAAGACGTGAAAAAGAAAATAAATTATTTAATAAATAATCGCTGAACTCTGCTATTTAAAATTATTTTAAACTAAAACTAGCCATTCCCCTCACTAAAATAGTGACAATTTCTGCACTAAAGCAAATGATTCGATGGTTTCATAAATGCAGTCTTAGTATCAAACTTAATTAAATGAATAAAATACAAATAATTTGCTGCAATACGTACAGTGTGCAAAACAGAAAAAAGAAACCTTGCTGAATAATGTTTGAACTAATAATCGAATCTTCGTTTTCTGGGATTCAATTTTAATGGTTCCAAGAGGATGACTTGAAATATTCTAATTAATTAGGGCAGGCAATGCTATAAGTTACGAAATGATTCACAAAAACGTACTTTCTCTGAATAAACATACATTTTTTTGATGGAACGCGATCACTGGATCAAAAGTTATTCAAAGTGGCCCTTTTTATTTATTTATTTGTTTTCGCGTATTGTACATTATGAACTTGTAAATTAATATCTACAGTATATTTTGAAACAAATTCTAACTAACTCCTAACTAATATTAGTAATATATACTATTACTAATATTATATCAAATACTTTAAATTCACAAACATAATTCAAAATTTACTTGCTAAATCCACAAAATTTTAATTAGTATACGTTTACTAAACTTGAATTTTATACGTAGTTATAAATATACAGAAATAACAAATATTTACTTAAATGTTTCCAAAAATAAATAAACAAGGAGAAGCAGCTTAGAAACACTACATCACAAGCAATGATCATTAAAAGTTTATTTTGTGATGAAGGAATGCTATTGTTCTTTTAGTTTAATCCCGAAAATCTTGAAATTAAGGAACTCACAATCACGATTTGACNAAATTAAGGAACTTGCAATCACGATTTGACACAAACAATTGCTTGAAACGTAGAAACTATTTACTGCTATGCTTATTTTATTTTGAGGCCTATCTTAAATTGTTCAGTTCTCACTTGCTTAAGATTTTGGAGAAATTTAATTTTATTATTTCCGTCTACATTTCATTTAATACGAAAAAGTAATGCGGAGACATAAACATAATCTTTTAAAATAATTCGGAGAAACAATTTCATTACACTTTAGCTAGAAGCTGGGGAATTTGTAATATCCGTGCTGTATTGCTTGTCGCGATACATTTACTGTAAACACAAACAATGTTTTATTATTATTATGTTCTAATCTCAAGAGACGCGTAAATATATTTTAAATCAGGCAAAATATATGAAAAATCGCCTTTTTTTGAAACAATCTGTTAACAAGATTGGATAAAAAAAAAACTGCATCAATAAATCATTCGAATAAACGATGAAAAAAACAATACATTTGTTGGAATTCATTATTTTTTTCAGTTATTAAATATCAAAGTTTTTGTTGTAAAATATTATTTTATCTTTCCGTCTACATTCAATATTCAATTATATGAAAACAAAAGCCTAAGAACAATCAACTAACACTAGTGATGAAATTGTTGAAATTTTTTTGTTTTGTTTCCTGTTGCATTATATTTTTTAAAAATATCCTATATACTTTTGGATTGTTGATTTAAAATCTACAATAGGTCTCCTTTTCCAAGCTATTTTTTTAAAAAATAATATTTTCAAATTTTTTTTTGTCAAAAGGTATCAAGTTTATAAACCTAAAGTACACCAGAGAGTCACATAAATGTTGCAACAAACTTCTATGAGGAAGTTTATTTACATCATCAGGATGAAAATTATACAGGAAACCATACCCTGAAATGTCACCATACGCAGCTAGGAGCATTTTCTTAATATGATTGTTTCTTTGTGTGCTTTTCAGCAAGTCACGATAGCGAAGGGACGGCAGCCGCGTACGGTGACATTGCCTGGCATGGGTTTTAATGCAATTTTTATCTTGATGCTATTCCCTAGCTCCTTTGGAAGTTTTCGCAGCATTTATGCAATCCTCTTTTATTTATAGCGTTTTTAAACTTGTGCATTTTGTTAAAGAATGGAATAAGAATACCATTTAAAATAATTCTGTTGCTTTAGGAGAAAAACTTGAGGGGGGAGGAACCCTCTCATATTCAGTTGAGGACAACTATGACAAAATCAAACAAACATTTATTACCAACTGAAGCATGACAATAAGATAAAAACAGGAAAGTAAAAGTTAAGACTGAGTGTGCAATGTTCGAAGCTTCTTAAATACTGAAGAAAGGTACAAGGTTGCCGATCATGTGTACGCTATCAAGCTGATTTCTTTGGCAACTACGCACCATGCCTTGCCCCACCAATTAATTTCAGATTTGAAGCCCCACACTAAAGTAAGGCAAACTCAAGGATTTCAATAAATGCAACAAAAAAATTTGTTCCTTAGTACAATATTTAATTTTTTACAATTTTTTTTAAATTGAAACATTTGATAACATTAGACTTAAAAATAGTGGTTTGAAAACAATTCTGCCGATATTTTATCCTGAATTTCAACAAGATCTTAGTTCCCCACCACAAGCCACTGTTTTCTAGGGACCCCTTCCAGTTTTATTACTTTTCGTTAATTTTATGGCCATGATCTCAATTTGTGAAAAAAGAGAGAAGATAATTTGAACCATTAAATTTTTTTCGATACATGAACAGTTATAAAAAGAAAGAAGATTTAGCCACTTTAATGAGATTTTTTTAAAGCGTTTTCTTCTGTTTCTGGTATTTTTAAATTTATTTTATACTTATTCCAGCGTCTATCCTTTTTCTCTTTCTTGCACATTTTAATGACACAAATATTTAGTTACAATATCGGCTATAAGCGAGTGAAGACAGAGAGATAGGGAAAGCACTCATCCAGTGACTCAGCCAAAATATTTCTTTTATTTTTATTTTAACCTTTAAATTTCATCCAAGAGTGTAAAAAGTTGAAAAGTATTATAACATGAACATATAAAGCAAATATACTCGATAAATTGAGAAAAAAAAGTTTTTTTTATGCTTCTTTTTGCAATTATTTTACTCATGTTATAAGTCCTCCTTTTCTTTTTCAAAACACATCCAAAAAGTAAAAACATGTTGCCACAACTTTGAAAGCGTGAAAGAGGGTAAAGGTCAAGAAACTCTTCCTGGAAAGTTAGGAATAATTACTTTTTTACCCTTCCCTTTCCCACGAATTTCTCACCCCTTACTTGCGTTAGCTCAAAATTGTGTCCAATTACTTTTATCATTTGTGGGCTTTCTGGGGTGAAAAATTTGAACTAGGATCTGAAACATGCAGAGAATAAATAAAATAAAATTACGAAAAAAATAAACAATAATTAATTAGCAATAATAACTTAGAATTGGATCTTCTGTTCAGCACTGGTAATAAAGTTAAATTAAACTAAAAGAGGAAAATTGCCTAAAGTATTTTTTTGTAATTTGTGAACTTTTATTTGTAGGCCTTTAGATAAAATTGAATAATTTTATACGAAATTGAAAAAATTTTTTCTTTCCTTTAAATCAAATCTGTGTCCTTAAAATTATTGATAAGTGTCAAAAGTGTAATTTTTAAGCAATTTTCTTTGATTGCTCTTTCTTAATTAACTGTAAATCAGGAATAAAGATTACAATTTAAACCGAATGACTTTTAAATGGAACATGTTTGAAATAATTTTATT